CTCTCTCTCTCTCTCTCTCTCTCTCTCATCTATAGCTGTATATTATATATGATCAGTGACCTCATTGCTTTTGGTACAAATGAATTTCTATAAAGCCCATAACTGTCCGTTCTTGCTTTCTAGAAAATAAGTCTTTTACTACAGGTCAATAGGCCTAATTGAAATTGTGATGTCAATGAGTGGCTATGGTCACTTAATATATTTCCACCTATTTTCAAATGTTTGTCTTGTGCAAAGATTCAAAGTTATTTAGGTCTTTACCAGTTGTTCTTGAAACTTCCAGATTCCTTTCTAATCAACTTATTTTGAACCCCCCGGGGCAGTGCCACTGACTGTAGTGTCTTTAGGCCATTCCCAAAAGGGGACATAGTAGAATTGTAAATAGGCTGACTCATGTCCCGCTCATAACTGTGCCTGATCTACAACAGGGAACTGCTGCTTTTTCTTTCCTGATCCTTACTATTGTTGTCATTTTCCTCTATTTCTTTTGTATGTTTGTCACTCTCTTGTGACCTGCTATTTCCGGGGTGCCTTGATAGTCGAAGCAAACCTTGTACTGTTGAAGCTAGAGAGGTGAGCAGTCTAAGTCTTTATCTTTGTAAGATATCCCTTGAACTACGGATCCCTCGAACTATCAAGACCGGTCCTGACAAATTCGAGCTATTCTTTTTATACTGTATTTCCTTTATCTTTAAGTTTAAGAGGTTCACTTTTAGAAAATTTGAATTGCACCATTCAAAAACCTTACAGTACTTACATATTTCATAGAGATACACTGTTTTTTATTGTGGGACTAAATTCTCTTCTGAACGACTTACAGATTGGTAATCTTTGGTTAAAAGGCCATAAATTAAGTGGTGGTCCAAACAAGTAGGTCACTGTCTGAGTAGGAAAGTTAACAGATTTGATGATTAAAATTAATAGAAATAGAAAGTAAGAAATGTTTGTGTTTGTTTTATATGCCACAAGATATACAGACATATGTTGTTCAGAAGATGGGCCTTCTGGACTGTATTTGTTTTTCTTTGCTGCGCCTGACCCCCAGAGAATCAGCATTAAAAAAAGAAAGCTTTAAGACAAAGGAAAGGTGGCAGCTCCTTGTCTAGAGAGGCTTTGACACATATGCTTGGCTTGGTGTCTAATCAGCTCAGGGTGGTGGGGAGTGGGTGATAGTGAGACTGTAGACTTAAATTAAAAGTTAAATTGTCCTGTGATGTGAAGGGAAAGAGAGAAGGGAGACAAAATAGACAGACCAACCAACAGACAAATAGACGGGCTCTGAGAGAGAATAGAGAGAGAGGCAAACAGACATGCCTCACAGACAGACAAAAAGAGATAGCGAGAGAAACGGAAAGAGAAGGGGGGGGG